CATGATAACCTCAATCACTGATATTGTATTGTTGTCCACCTGAGCTAGGACGGACAGGAAATAGCTTTGGTAACTTGGAAGAAATTCCAGGTCTATTGGGTTCAGGAATGCATGACACAGTGTTAAATTGATTTACCTAGGCAGTCAGTTCAGCAAAGCCAGTTAGGAAATTACTTCAGGCTCAAATGTCTCAGTACATCTAAAAACATTCCCACTCCTGCCATCTACAAATGCACATTTGAGAACACACACCCCCTACTTCAAAGCATATCCAGTAATTAATTGTTCTTTAAAAACCTGGTTGAGGCTGTTGTAGTGGTGCATGCCTGGGAGGAGAATGGCAAATTCAAAGCCCGCCTGAGCAATTTAGTGAGACCCTGTATATATATATAATGATCATATATATGTACACACATATTCATATATGTATATATATACACACATATGTACGTATGTGTAGTGTGTGTGTATTCCCAATTCAATAACATTCCGTTTAACATCCACTTCTAAAAGACAAAGCAAAAAATATAATATACAATCCACAATCATCAGGTATCAGTTTGGAAGTTGATAAAATCAGATTTTGCATTTGGAAGGAATAAAATTGAAACATTTGGTCAGGCATTAATTCAGGAAGCACACAAATGGATGTGTATTGTGAAAATAAGTAGTCTTTTATTTCAAATTTCAGAAAACATGCCTGTTAAACATGGTTAATTTTGAAAATTGACAGCTTGTCAGTATGCAAAAAGTGTGCTAGGAAAGCAAGAACATCAATTAACAAGTAGTATTATACCCACTTCTTCAGTTAATCTTGAGAAATGCAGTGAATGCTCTAAGGACTTTAGACACAGCTGTGGGTTTATGGCATGATTTGCCTGTCATATTTTATTGATTTCCAACTTTAAAAGTATAAATACAAAGGGTAATATTTTATGATACTGAATCAAATATCCAAGAAAAATTCCTCCCTATTAATGTGGCTTATCGAATGTTTTTTTCCTTATTCTATGCTAGAATTTTGTCTTTTTGTTGTTTTACTTTTTCCACATCCATTTAAATTTACTCAAGAGGGCATTTTTGGCCCCCTTTCCGAAAAATGACAGAAACTAAATTTAATTAATACTGATTTTTTTTTCATGTGCAAAACTCTAACTCTGCTTTTTAAAGCAAATAAAGGGAATAAAAACATAGCATAATTTCAATGCCCAAATGTCAGTATAAATGGCATCAGTACAAAGATGTAAATAAATCTCAAATACAGGACATTAGTAATTGGAACATCATGCACTGATTTAATGTTAGCAAGAAGAAGAAGCTTTATAACAGGTAAAAGAACTAACATAGTGCATTAAAATTGAATATTAACCTAAGTAACCGTAATTTTACAAATTCTCCAATTTCATGACTTGCTTTTGAATAAACTTTAGCCTCATTTTTTAAATCAAATGCCTACTCATCAAAGCTTACTGAACAAACATATCTATGCAAATTTATACCCTAAAATACCAGAGTAAACAGGAGACATTATTCAAAGATGAATAAGTTCTATTCTTTTTCATCATCTGTGTGGTCAGGTTGCAAAGGACATGCTCTGTAGAAAGAACAGAGAACTTTAGTAGTCACCTAAGTATCAATTCTTTAAAAAAATTAGAAAAAAAATTAGTAAAAAACATACAGAAATCAGGAACAGTAATTTTATTTATTTGTTTTTTAAGTCCTTTTTTCTTAATTTGTAGGAATAATAATTAATAATGTAGTGGCTGTGGTCAAGTGCCAGAAATGAAAGAAAATTTAACTTCATTAATTGACAAATATGTATAAATTTCAAGTACTAGTGCAACACAATTTGTAGCAATTTCTTTGCCTCTTATTTTGCAGAATCAATATTTCCCATTTAGAATATGTTGCGATTTTTATTTACAGTGTCTCATTAGAATCAATATTTCCCATTTAGAATATGTTGTGATTTTTATTTACAGTGTCTCATTTAGAATATAATCTATCAGTAAAAACTTCATGATAGATAGGTGCAGTGTTGCAATTGCGTGATCCCAATTGCTTGGGAGGTAGAAGCAGGAAGTTCAGGAGTTTGTGGACAGCATTAGCAACTTAGCAAGACCCTGCTCAAAATAAAAATATAAAGTGTGGGCTGGGCGGGGGTTGTGGCTCATTGGCAGAGTGCTTGCCTAGTATGTATGAGGCACTGGGTTTGATTCTCAGCACCACATAAAGATAAATAAAGGATCATCAACAACTAATAAAATTTTTTTTTTAATTTTTTTTTTTTTTAAAGAGTGAGAGAGAGGGAGAGAGTGGGAGAGAGAGAGAGAGAATTTTAATATTTATTTTTTAGTATTTGGCTAACACAACATCTTAGTTTGTATGTGGTGCTGAGGATTGAACCCGGGTCGCACACATGCCAGGCGAGCGCGCTACCGCTTGAGCCACATCCCCAGCCCCCTAATAAAATATTTTAAAAATATATAAAGTGTGGGGATATAGCTCAGTGGTAAAGCATGGCTAGGTTCAATCTCCAGTAATGAAAGAAAAGAAAAAACCAAAACTTTGTAATAATCCTGGCCAATAACACATGCCTATTATCCCAGCTACTCGAGAGACTAAGGCAGTTTCAGGCCAGGACAACTTGGTGGGACCCTGTTCCAAAATAAATAAAAGGGTTGAAACCCAATAGTAGAGTTGTTGTGTTTGTTGTTGTTATTTTGTTTTGCACCAGGGATTGAATGCAGGGATGCTTAACCACTGAGCCACATTCCCAGTCCCTTTTTTTTTTTAATGAGGTAACTTTTTAAATTTTATTTTATTCATTTATTTTTTAATTATTTTTTAGTTTTTAGGTGGACACAATATCTTTACTTAATTTTTATGTGGTGCTGAGAATTGAACCCAGTGCCTTATGCATGCTAGGCAAGCCCCATCATTTATTTTTTATATGCGTTGAGGATTGAACCCAGGACCTCACATGTCCTAAGCAAGTGGTCTGCTACTGAGCCACAACCCCAGCCCCGTTTTTCATATTTTATTTAGAGACAGGGTCTCGCTGAGTTGCTTAGGCTGACTTTAAACTTGGAATCATCCTGCCTGCAGCCTCCCAAGCCACTGGGATTACAGGCATGCAGGGCACCCAGTTTAATAGTAGACCTCTTGCCTAGCATGTTTGAAGGTCTGGGTTCAGTCCCCAATACCATTAAAAAAAAAAAAAAGAAAGTAATAATAAAAAGCAAAAAATTAAGCAGTTCATTTGAGCACAGGAAACAGCAAATTTGTTAACTTATGGTTGTCATAGTTTTTAAAAAATAATTTACATTATCCCAAAGCCATTCATATTTACTCTTTTTATAAAGAAAAAGTCAATTAAGAATTTAATCATAAATCAAAATTTTTATTTTAGAGATAGAAAAGATTTGTGACACCTATTTAAAGATTTTAGTTTTCAAATTAGATCCAGTAAGCCTGAATGATCATAGAACTGGGTACCAAAAGAAGGAAGCTAAAATGAAGGTAACCAGACATTGTATAAGATTATCACTGCTTGTGTAGGGAAGCATGCATACACCTCTAGCGATTCTGGAGGCCGGGGCAGAAACTTGCAAAGTTCAAGACCAGCCTGAGCAATTTAGTGAGGCTGTAAGGAATTTAAAAAGACCCTGTCTCAAAAGAAAAATAAAGAGGGCTAGTGATGTAGTTCAGTGATAAGTGCCTGTGGGTTCAATTCCCAGTACAAAAAAAAAAAAAAAAAGATGATTATCATTGCTTCATGTATCAGTAGGCTGTGCTAGAATTTAAACCAAGTTAACTAATGAATGCTATTATGACCTAAACTTCCTTTTCATACGGTCTAATTTACTTAGGCATCATAGTTCTGTTCAAGATTTAAGCAGAAGCTGGGCATGGTGGCACACTCCTATAATCCCAAGGGTTTAGGAGGCTGAGGCAGGAGAATTTGAACTCAAAGCCAGCCTCAACAATTTAACAAGGCCCTAAGCAATTTAGCGAGATTCTATATCAAAATAAAATATAAAAAGGGCTAGAGATGTGACTTGATAGTTAAGTGCCCCTGGAACAAAAAAACAAAACAAAACAAAAAAAAGATTTAAGCAGATATTCTCTTGATTCTGACTCTATGTGCAATAGATGGGAGTTTACCCTGCCTTTAGGAGAAAATAAGACCACAAGAGTAACCATATTTCAAAATATTACTTTGAAGGTTCATATTCCTTCTAATAAACTATTTCAATAAAGGAATAATTGTAACTGTCTTAAACAAAGTCAAATCTAAGAAAGGGGCCTAAAGAAATAATGTAAACCTGTATTACTACATTTATGGACAGATCTTATTATACCTTGGATTAAAGTTGTTTGAGAATATATGTATAATTTCTTTCCATATAGTGGAAAACAAATATAGGTTTATTCCTGTATTATAGCCAAAATTGGCTGTCTTGCCAAATTATTTTATTTCCCTAATATTAGGTCAAACAATTCAAAAGGATTAAAGTATATTCTAGAGGTAATCTTGACTACTACACCTTGTTAATTTAGAATAAGAAAGAACAAGGAAGAATGATAGCAATGAGGAGAAACAAAAATAGAGGATCATGAAAACAAACCTATTATTATTGGTGATTTTTTTTGTGTGTGTGTGTGAGTAGTGGTACTAGGAATTGAACCCTTGGCCTTAATGCATGCAAGGTAAGCACTCTACTGAGCTATATCCTAGCTAGAAAACAAATCTATTAAAAAGCTTGGTGGCTCATGCATATAATCCCAACTACTCAGGAGGTTGAGACAGGAGATATCCAAGTTCAAGGCCAGTCTCAGCAACTTAGTGAGGCCTTAAACAACTTAGGGAGCCCCTGTCTCAAAAAAAAAGCAGGGGGGTTTGGAATGTAGCTCAGTAATAAAGCACCCCTGGGTTCAATCTCTAGTACCAAAAAATTTTTTAAAAGTTTGATGGTTGATTTTTATTGAAATAAATTATGTGCTTGCTTCAGCCACACATATACTGAAATTGGAACAATGCAGAGAAGATTAACATGGCCCTACACAAATATGACATGCAAATTCAAAAGTAAATAAATAAACAATCATAATAGTGTTATTTTGTTTTGGAGGGTATCAGGGATTGAGCCCAGGGGCAGTCAGCCACTAAACCACACCCCCAGCCCTACTTTGATTTTATTTAGGGTCGGGGTCATACTGAGTTTAGCCTCTCTCCATTGCTGAGGCTGGGTTTGTCACGGAGCCTGGCCCTAAGCCCTTCTTAGAAACAACTCACTAAGTTGCTGAGGCTGGCCTCAATCTTATCTTCCTGCCTCAGCTTCCTGAGTAGCTGGGATTGCAAGTGTGCTCTTCTCTAGCAATCATTTTGTTCTCTTTCAGCCCTTTATTTTTATTTAGTTTGTATTCAATGTAAATCAATTCAAAACACAATGTACAATCCATACCAGATGTACAGTGTTAACTATGAAGCAAGAGCAAGTTTCGTTCACATATACCACAGGTTGAGATCTGTTGGATCTGGAAGATTCTAAAAATGGCTTAAAACTTTTTAAAACTGCTGTAGCTATAATGAATATTGGAACAGCTAAGGGTCAATGTATGACTGTGTGAACCAGATTTCATGCAGTGTCTACTCCTAAAAAGGTTATGTACATTGAGGCAGTTGTAAAAGTTTTTCTTTCTAGAATAAAGTCCAGTTAAGGCTTAGGAGTAAGTCTTAACTACTTAAAAGTATAAACTAATACAGAAAGTGTTCCAAATGAAGCTATTCTGATCTACAGAAGTTTTTGTAAAGTATTTACAAAAAGAACATTAAAAAAAATTGTGAACTTAATGGGATTTCCAATCTTCATTTCCCAAATACATTATTTTTGTCTACTTCATGTTTGCCTCTTATTTTCAAGATTTATCAAATATGTCTTTGAGTCATAAATTTTCAATTATATGCAAATATAATTATTCAATATATGCAAAATAAAAAGTAATGTTGTAAGATGGGTTTAAGTCAGTGTACTTCTATTCTTCTGAATGAAGTATGGTAGCTAATGAATGACACTTTTATTGAATGGTTACATGTGCTAAGAAATGCTTACCAATTAATTATTTTATTTTTTTTTATTTATTTTTTTTTTAAAGAGAATTTTTTTAATATTTATTTTTTAGTTTTCGCCAGGCACAACATCTTTGTTTGTATGTGGTGCTAAGGATCGAACCCGGGCCGCACGCATGCCAGGCGAGCGCACTACCGCTTGAGCCACATCCCCAGCCCCCAATTAATTATTTTAAATATACATGCAACTCTTACTCATTCTTGGATTTGGAATAGATTCCAATCTATCCTTTCCATGGCACATGTCAATTAATACAAAGGAAGTTAAATGCAATATCAAGCAGGGATGTAGCTTAATGGTAGAGTGCTTGCTTAGCGTTCGCAGGCCCTGGGTCCAATCTACAGCACCATAATAAAAATAATAAATAAATAAGAATAAAAAATTGGGACTAAAACAAAACAAGAGGGGCTGGGGTTGTGGCTCAGTGGCAGAGTGCTTGCCTAGCATGCAGGAGGCCCTGGATTTGATCCTCAGCACCACATAGAAATAAAATAAAGATATTATGTCCACCTAAAACTAAAAAATAATTATTGAAAAAGAATAATTTCCATTAACACCTGATGGTTCTTTCAAACATACATATAAGTCATGAAATCTTTTTATATTGCCTAGTTATTTTACAGCCTTCTAGATTTAGTGTGCCAAAATGTAAACTGAATTTCCATTCCACAGGTCATTCTTGTCTCTAGAGCAAAGTAACATAATTCTCTTTAAGGTAGTTTTTAAAGTCCATATTTCTTAAGCCACATTAAAAAAAAAAAAAACTGTTAAGTAATTTTTGATGTTGACTTTCTCCTTAGTCTTGTACATGAAACTCCAGCAGATTTAATATTGGCATTCTCTATTTAGTTAAATCCTTCAGATGATCTTCAAACCATCCCAGTTTGGACTCTCAAAGCTTTTCTGTGTTGATAAAATGAGTGGAATTAGCAGACATGATGAACACCTGTTGTTGTTGTTTTTCCTACCAAGACAGACTTCCAGATGCCATTTGGATTGAGATTTAAAATATGAGTTGGAGAACTGTAGATTTTTCTTAGTCTATTCTCTCAATAGTAGAGATGTAGAAGGGTAAGTAAGACCACGAGAAGACTGGCTATAGTCTTTATAGCGCTGGAGGTGGTTGCGGTGGTGGGCTTTGTGGTTTCGTAATAGGTAGCACCTGGTGTGCTAGTTAAAGGAACAAATGAATTAATCTGCATGGGTAGGAGCAGTACCAGAAGCAGCAGCCCCAGACTGAGCCTGGCCACCATCCTCTTACCCTTGTGTGTCCAACTTGCTGCTTTAGTAGGCTGGAGGGTCTCTGAATTCCTCCCTGGAGTGGAAGTAGCAAACCACGCCTTATATTCAAATGACATCACAATGACAGTGACAAGATGCCACACCTTTCCTTACCCAGTCAAATACTTTGTTTTTGAAAGTTTTAAAACATTTAAAAATTGTTGCCTGGACCCCATTATTAACATTATTAAAAATTGAAAAAAAACAGGTTTCAATTTTTTTTTCCAAGTAGCATTATCTTCTTTCTGGTTATTAAAAGTGACTTGTTGGCCTGGGGTTGTGGCTCAGCAGTAGAGTACTTGCCTAGCACATGCAAGGCTCTGAGTTCAATCCTCAGCACCACATAAAAATAAATAAAATAAAGGTATTGTATCCAACTACAGTTAAAAAACCATTTTTAAAAAAAGTGACTTGTTTGTTGAAATTTGTTAGTATAAGAGGTTTTTATTCAGAGATAATTGTTACTATATTTGTTATATTTTATATTTGTTATAAATCTAAATACATGGTTTAGATTTTACACAGCAAGGATTGTATCCAGAATTTTTTCTTGACATTTATCATGAGCATTTTCCTGTCATTAAAAGCATAGTTTAATTAGCTTTTTAAAAAGTTTGCAGTGGGTTGGGGATATAGCTCAGCTGGTTGAGTGCTTACCTTGCATGCACAAGGCCCTGGGTTCAATCCCCAGCACCACACACACACACAAAAGTTTGCAAGCTAGTTGTTTGTGGTAGCTCTTAATCCTAGCTATCTAAGAGGCTGAGGCAGAAGGACATCAATTTTGAGGCCAGCCTTGGCAATACAGTGAGACTCTTATCTCAAAAAAAAAAAAAAAAAAACTTTGCACATTGAACTCTATATATGTATAATTTTATCCCTGTTTTGTTTTGAAATATTCTTTTTTTTTTAATTTTTTTTCTTTCTTTTTTTTTAGAGAGAGAGAGAGAGAATTTTAATATTTATTTTTTAGTTTTTGGCAGAGTATATTTTCTTTATATTCCAGAATATAAAAACTTACTTTCTCTTTGCTTTTCCTAAGCCACTGCTTCCTGGCTCTTCAGGAATCCGATTCTCCTTTTCAGAATCTTTAGGGGACAGCCTAAAGAATTCTCCAATTCCTTTCTGCCACTTGGGAGTTGGACGTACACAAACTGGATTTCCTCCTGCATACTTATTTTCAGCTGTAAAATATAAACAGAACTAAATAAGAACTAGGAATCCAACCACCATTCATTAAAAAACCTTAATTCGGGGCTGGGGATGTGGCTCAAACGGTAGCGCTCTCGCCTGGCATGCGTGCGGCCCGGGTTCAATCCTCAGCACCACATACCAACAAAGATGTTGTGTCCGCCGAGAACTAAAAAATAAATATTAAAAATTCTCTCTCTCTCTCTCTCCTCTCTCTCAGAAAAAAAAAAAAAAAACTTAATTTTTTCTTTCACTTCAAATTCTCAAAGATATAAGGGATATTACATCCATCTTAAAAAACTAGAAAGTGTGACACAGGAAAGCTATAATCAGACAATAAACTCAGTTTGATAGTTTGATCCTAGAAAAAAATCAGTAACAATTTTTAAAGCTGGAAAATCTTTTTCATATTTGTCCATGAGCAGAGCTATCAAACAGTATTATATACTGTCATACAATATTTGATACACTTTTTCCTAACATAAGGTATCACCCTATAGAATAAATCACCAGAATCTTATTTAATAAGATCATTTAGGCTAGGCACAGTGGCCCATGCCTATAATCTTAGTTCAGAGGCTGAGGTAAAAGGATCACAAGTTCAAAGCCAGCTTCAGCAACTTAGCTTGACTCTGTCTTGAAATAAAAATAAAAAAGTGCTGAAAATGTAGTTCATTGGTAGATCAACCCTGAGTTCAATTCCCAGTACCAAAAGACAGGAAAAAAATAAGGACATTAGCAATTTCAAACACTTACTAGAAGTAAAGATAAAGATATGTAAAACATTATAAAAGGTGCATTTGTTCAAAGCATTCATTAAGGGCCTACATTCAGTTAGCTCTGGTGATTCAGCAGTGTTCCAAACAATGGAATGTGGCCCTAATGGAATTTATTCTAGTGGTATAGGTTGTAAGATAGTCTCAAAAAATTCATCTTCTTTCAAGTGTTTTGACTACTATTCCCTTTTTTAAAAAAATTTTTTTAGTTGTTGATGGACCTGTATTTTTATATATTTATATGCGGTGCTGAGAACTGAACCCAGTGCCTCACACTTGCTAGGCAAGTGCTCTACCACTCAGCTACACCCCAGCCCTACTATTGCCTTTTATCTGAAGAGACCGAATAAATATTTTCTAAGAAAGTGTTTGGAATAGGAGGAAATTTGAGTTGACTTAAAAATCTATGAAGTCTTAAACAGTGCTCTCCTTTCTGTTTGTAACTAAACCTTGTGGAATTAATCTTCCTGCCTTTTCAACTTTCTACTGAAAGGAAAGAGGTACCAGATGGCAGGGCATTTTCTCATCCTCTCCACATGCAGGAGGAGCAGTGTGAAGCTATTTCCCTTGCCTTGTTACACTCCTACTCACCCAAAAGCAGTATCAGGAGCTGCAAAGTTAGAAAACACACACAAACACCACACTCAAAAAAGACAGAGGAGGGGATGAGAGTGAGGGATAGAGGAAGAAAGGAAGGAAAGCAAAAGCAAAGGCAGAAAAAGTATT